TAGATATTATTCCATATCGAATGTCCACGTTTGTCTTGATTAGTATCTTTCGCTTTTTTAAGCCATTTGCGCTTACATTTGTATCAAATTTAGTGTTACAGTGAATTTTTTAGTGTTAGATGTTAAACAGCCTAAAATTTAACTGTTTGATGTTATAGACGGAAAATTTTAGTGTTTAGTGTTTTCGAGGCACCCCCATCCAGACCCTCCTAGACCGGTCTAGAAAAAAAAGGGACAAAGAATATAAAAAACTGGTATATAAGACACAGCCATATAATAAACATCTTATTAACCGAGCTAGCTCGGTCTGTATGGGAGAATCTTGACCAAACGCAGTGAGGTCTGTATTGGCAACCTCGGTCAATATTCTCCCATACAGACCTCCTGCTCAGTTAATAAGAACTAAATTCAAATTATGGGGTCATTAAATCACGATGTATACAAAGGAAATGAAACGCCTATCCTCTCGGGAAAATTTTTCCTTTGAGTTTTAAAATAGATATTATATTATAAACTGTTCCTCGCAAATTTGGGGCTTCGTTCAGATTGAAAAGAGTGGTACATGTGTCCACTGCAAAATGAATTCGTTGCTCGTTCTCTTCACTTTACAGGGATATAATTTTTCGAATCTTCCTAAATACTGAAAGTCTATTCTAAACAAAGAAAACACTATTGGAATTACTATTGTACCAGGATGTCTAGTGATGAAAACGTAGACATTAACTAAAGGATTAAAATATTAACCTCGATTCTTCACTTTTTGTCATGTTTAGGCAGACTCGTAACTCGATGTTTGAAGGGTCGACTTGGTCTAAACGATTTTTCATGAAACGTGGAACAAAATCGTAAATATGAAACACGAGATGAATTTCAAAGTAGCTAATAAGTCCCTGTTAAATAGTTTCCTATGTAAAGGTTACCTCCACAAGCAAACAGGAAGGAAAAGATGAATGTCTCCACAAATAGAACAAGATTAGCCATCACATTCTTCATAAACATTTAAACCGTGTGGTGTATATAAGTATTGACGAAAAGTGTTCGAAACTAAAATGAACGAAGCACATGAAAGGATGCAAATTTTGTCCAGAGGTTTGTCAAATTCCTTTTTGAGGATTAGAAAATGAAACTATTATCATGTGCCAGAGTTTTGTCTTCCGTATTTGTTACTGTAGATATCCACAAATGATATCAAGGAAAACCTAATTTCAATTAGCGGGAAAGAACTGCGTATTATTTATCCCGAAGGTAGCCGGTTTTCGTAC